TTTATAGTTTTCTATGTATAGGTCTTTTGTTTCTTTAGGTAGATATACTCCTAAGTATTTTATTCTTTTTGTTGCAATGGTGAATGGTATTGTTTCCTTAATTTCTCTTTCTGTTTTCTCATTGTTAGTGTATAGGAATGCAAGAGATTTCTGTGTAGTAATGAAAGAGAATAACCTACAATCTAGATTACTGTACCCAGCAAGGATCTCATTCAGATATGAAGGAGAACTCAAAAGCTTTACAGACAAGCAAAAGCACAGCTTCCCTTAACTTGCAGCTTGAGCCCTCCTGCTGGAAGGCCTGCTTCAGGTACCAGGGTGTCAAGCAGATGCCACTGCCATGGGGTTATTTTTAATTGCTATGTGTCGGCTGTGTTTCTAACAGGCACAGAGGACAAAGATACTTGCTCACCTACTTTTGAGGTATGGACATGTGATCTGATCTGGCCAAAAAGATGTGAATAAAAGTGAGCAGGTGCTTCCAATGGAAACTTTCAAAGCCATCACACACTTCACCATGCCTCAGTCACTAACTAAGGATGCCTCATGTTAAGAGCAAAAATTAAACATGTTTGTATTAAATCACAGAGATTTGGAGTTTGGTTATTATTGTGACATAAACTGAGTGTGTGTGTGTGTGTGTGTGTGTGTGATGCTCAGCTGCTCAGCTGTGTCTGACTCTTTTGTGACCGCATGGACTATAGCCCACCAGGCGCCTCTCTCCATGGGATTTTCCAGACAAGAATTCTGGAGCAGGTTGCTGTTCCTTCCTCCAGGGGATCTTCCCGACCCGGGGACCAAAACTGGGTCTTTTGTGCCGTCTGCATTGGCAGGTGGATTCTTTATCACTGCACCACCTGGAAAGCCCAGCATAACTAGTGTCTATTGATTCATACGCTACAGTTTGAGTCTGTGAATGCAACTCTTCTAGCTCAAAGTTTCTCAGCCTCAGCACAACTGACACTCTGCACTGGATACAGCTATATCGTGGAGGGGGCTGAGCAGCTTCCCTGACACCCTTTCCCTAGCTGTGACAATCCAAAATGTCTCCAGGAGATATGATTCCACTTAACGTGAGTACCTCAAGTGGTCAGACTCACAGAGGCAGAAAGGAAGATGGCGGTCCAGGGGATGGAGAGAGGGGAGGGACGGGGAGTCACTGTTTAATGCATGCAGAGTTCCAGTTTCACAAGATGGAAATCGTTCTGGAGCTGGATGATGCTGATGAGAACACAAAGTGTGAATGTACTTTAAGCCACTAAACTGTACACTTAAAAAATGGTCAAAATGATACATTCTATGTTATATGTATGTTTTACCACAATTTTTTTTTAATGGAGGGGAAAATGTCTCCAGATGTTGCCACATGTCCCTGGGAGGACAAAATCACCTCTGGTTGAGAACCACTGTTGGCTATAGGGGCGCCTCACTGAAATGCATGTGCAAAAGTACAAGGCTAGGGCTGGGCACTGTTTTACACCACTAAGGGCTAGGATTTCTCCTCAAAAGGTTTTCATCTGCTCCGATTTTCAGCCAGGATCTGCACAACGATCCAGAAAAGGTTTCTCCTTGTGGATCCAGAACCAACGTGATAGAAATAAGCCCAGTAGAGATTCTTACACTAGTTTAAGCTTCCTGTTCATTTGATAAACCCTAGGGATTTTATGTGAACTAAATATTCCTAAAAGTTACTGGTTCCTCACAGATTCTAAGAGGCAAAGGGATTTTGAAACAAAAGAATGGGGTGGGGGGGGGTGGTCACCAAGTAGGTGTGTGACTCTGTCATTTAGAAGTGCTCCTGGCCTTCCCTTCTTGAGTTTACATTGAGGAGCAGTCCTCAAGTCTGAAAACAAATTACAGCCAACACAGGGGTCCAAATGGCGATTGGCTCTACTCTCCATGAACTGAATTCCATCTGACATTGACTTAGCATTCACCTGCACCACACCACCCTGCCTGACTGCCTTGGAAAATTCTCTTTATATCTCAGCATTGGGGCTACATCCTTACTCCTCCATCCTTTTCCATAAGGACTTCACATTGCCACAGTCTAGGGCCATGACATAGAGGGCAACCACAGTGCCAGGGGAAGATTTCATCTCAAAGTCAGGGGCCAGAACCCTACATGGCAGGGCTTCTCTCTCTCTGGCCTTCACGGACACTTTCCAGGTTCAAGCTGAAACTGCTCCCCCAAACTCTCTAATAAGCATGAACAGATTACCCTCCCCTTCTTGGTTCCCATGGCCAGAATCCTTAACTAATTCTCTACCCACAAAGTAGGGCTAGTTTCACAAGCTGTTGTTTCAGCTGCTCACTTCGACATCTGCTCCTGATTTACTTACTGAACACCTCCAACACGCATGGAGCCGCAGCACTGTCACACTGCATCCTGCTCAGCTTTTTGCCCCCTCGAGGCATCCTCAAACACATCTGTGTCTGCACATGCCTATCCTCCACCCCGCTCCCTCTCACAAGGCTGCCCACCACTGATCCATCCACCTGTGCTCCAGACCCCAGACTCTTGGGAGCTTGCACC